ATGTTCGATTTTTCCCAAAGTTCAAAAGTAAACAAATTCAATTCAATTCAAGTTTGTTCTCTATAAGGGTTATAATGTGGGGTTTACACGTCAACTGGTGAGTCTAATATTCTTTCACAAGTGTGCTGATAATATTTATACCATTTCTACACTAATGTAGTAGTCTGCATAACAGTAAATCTTTTATTTTTTTGTGAGAATAAAAATTCAAAGTGGAAAGCAAAAGAAATATAAGAGGGGCCTGGGGACGTGACTAACGAACAGAGAATTTGTTATTTTAGTGCCAGGAATGTCTGTTGTTTATTCTGGACCCTATTTGGAAATTGGCATCTTCTGAAATTTGTGTGAAATTGGCAAAATTGCCAATTTCTGACCGCTTTATTGGTTAGTTGAAATTGGTAAATGGGTGGTTTCTTGCACTCATTCGATGGAAAAAATGGAGTTCTAGCGAAAAAAAATATGATTTTTGTCGACTAGTACACAGGAATTGGCAGAAAATAGGGCTCAAAGTGGGCGAAATCACCGATGCGTAAACATCGGCGAGACCACTAACCTCGCAAGAGCATAATTCCATAAGTTTCCCATCAAATTTCATACTTTTGGTGTCATTATGATCGGGAAAAGATTCTCTATCATTTCATAAGAATTTTTTTTTTTTTCTGAAAAATTTTCGACCCAGAGAACAAGTTCAGGAGAGGGCTTCTCGACCCTGAAAGGGTTAAAGAGACGCCAGAAACAGAGCTCTCTGGACAGATTTTTAGTGTGACAGGGGTCCAGTGCCAGTAAAAGACAAAGAAGGGAAGTAACCCCGGATAGGGTTTTGATACATGAAGTCCTAATGGAGGGGGATTTCCCTCTTTTAATTTATTTATTTATTTATTTATTAATTTGAACATGATATAGAGAAGTACAAGGAATACAATTTTTAAAATGCAGCATGCCAAAGCCCCTTGTATGCAGAGCATTATGGGCAGGCTTAAAATTAACTTAAGATTAACTAAGCAATGATATATTCAGTGGTACAAAAATTATTGTAAAACAGATAACAATTTAGTACAAATGAGTATTACAAAGACAGGTCATATGGTCATTTACTGTGTTGCTGTGTAATCAGTAGAATGGAGTATTCTGTTAGGTAATGAAGTTAAATAGTAACAAAGTTTAATTGGGTCACAGGTTGACATTTATGAGATACAATAATGAGATACATATACGAGATAAAATTTATGAGATACAATTATTCAGTATTTATTTAGTTGTGGGTGAGTAAGTGATTTTTGAAAAGAGACTTGAATTTACAAACAGTGTTTCTTTTATATTCACAGGTAATGAATTCCAGATTTTAGGGCCTTTTATGTGCATTGAGTTTTTGCATAGCGTGAGATGGACACGAGGAACACCAGAGTGATCTGTGCCTTGTGTTATGGTCATGTGATCTGTTGAGGTTGGCAAGGAGATGTTTGAGGGGAGGGTTTATGTCAGAGTTAAGTGTTCTATGTATGTAGTAGGTGCAGTAATAAGTATGGATGTTTTGTATTGTGAGTAGGTTTAGAGTTCTGAATATTGGTGGAGTGTGCTGTCTGTAGTGGGAATTTGTTGTCATTCTGACTGCAGCCTTTTGTTGGGTGATTAGTGGTCTGAGATGGTTTATTGTTGTTGAGCCCCATGCACAAATTCCATAGGTGAGATAGGGGTAAATAAGTGAGTGATATAGGGCCAGGAGGGCTGACTGTGGAACATAGTACTGTATCTTCAATAGTAAGCCAAATAATAACCTCTGCTCCTCCTCCCTCTCCCCTCCTCAATAAAGGTAAGTGTGGTGATAAATGTTCATTTATCCATTTCATTAAGTCATTAATAATTCCTTCTCATTTTTTGTATATAAAGCTATAGTTATTCTTGAAAAAATGTATTTTTTTGTTAATATTTTTTGATGTCTGGAACGGATTAATTGTATTTACATTATGTATTTCTTATGGGAAATATTGGTTTAGTTTTCGGCCGTTTCAGATTTAGTCCAACCTTCTTGAACAGATTAAGAATGAAATCCGGGGTTCCACTGCATTATGTCTATGGGTTTTGTTGCAGCTATCAAGGAAGTGTTTCAGTTCACGATTAATATTAGAATTTATTGCTCTGTATATGTAGAATGCACAGTAGTAAGAGTAAAGGTTTTGTATAGCAAGTAGATTTAGGTCTTTGAAGAGTGGGGGTATGTGTTGTCTAGCAGTGGCCTGTGTGATCATTTGTACTGTGTCCTCTGTTGATTTACTGGCTTGAGGGGATTTGCTGTTGCAGATCCCCTGGCACAAATAGCATAGGTGAGGTAGGGGTAGATCAGTGAGTAGTATAATGTAAGTAGTGCTGTTTGTGGTACATAATAATGTATCATGGAGAGGATGCCAACTGTTTTGGACACTTTTTTTTTATTTTTGGATGTGGGTGTTGAATTTCAAGTTGCTGTAAAGGTGTAGACCCAGAAATTTTCCCTCATTATGTTTAGTAATAAGAGTATTGTTAATCATAATGTTTAGTTAGACATTACTTGCTCTGCTCCCAAACATTATGTGGAAGGTTCTGTCAATGTTAAATGTGAGTTTATTGGTAGTCATCCAGGTTGATATTTTTAGGAGCTCTTCATTAACAATCTTGCATGATGCAAGATTTGGGTGGGAAATGACACAAGTTGCGTCATCAGTGACAGGAAATTAAACTCACTATATTCACTTTCTTTAGTGTCAGAAAACCAGATCCACTCAATCATAATCTCAACTGCTAAGAGTGAACTGATGGTTTGACCATTCCCCTTTACAAGCCGCAACACTCCTCAAGATACTCAAGCTACGGAACCTCTATAGAAATACTATGTCGTCAACTCCCTAAGACACTTATAAACCAACTTAAGGTTTTTTGTATGCTCAAAGGTTTCAAATAACAATGAATTAATTGTCTTACAAATGTTCATAATTGTGTGAAAGAATTAAAACCTCAAAACACTCCTTTACAAAATTTTACATAAAAAAAACAAGGTCGAAGCTATAAGACTAGCGCCTGAGTACCCAAAAGTAAACAGATATTGTACCATGTTGCCAGACCTACTGCATTCCTTTATTTTAAATTTGCTTATTTGTTTATAACCTAACTTATAAACCAATCACTTCCCAATTGTCATGTAAATTACCTTTAAAAAACTGTTCACTGACTGCCAAAGGCAATAGACACTTCTATAAAATAAGCAATGAAAATGTGTTACAAGGTTGTAGCAGTTATTCCCAAGGAATTTTGTTGTCCAATACCATATACTGTATATAAATCTGTTGACAAACACCCACTTTGGATTTTAAAGATTTCTCCTAGACTTTATTACTATTAGTATTGTAAACATAAAATCTCAATTTACTGTTTGCAGACATAAAATAAATAAATAAATAAATAAATAAAAATAAATAAAAAGGGTGAATAATCCAGGATAACTCAAGCCATAGATTGTGATTTATTTCTAAGGGGGTTTCCCCAGGATGCAACTCTTAACAGTTGACTAATGAATAGGTATAGTTACTGCAAGGTAACACAGGCAGCATGTTAATATTAAGAGACTTGCCACACATCCCACCTCACCTTTGCAGAGAAATAAATGTTTTTTTGTTTGTTTGTTTCTGGGTGCTGTCATTTGGGAGGTGAGAGACGGTAGATATTGTTAGGGTTTTTAACCCGGAAGGTTTGTCAATCAAAATAACTCAATAAAGTTAATGCATCATTGGGTACTGACTGTTTTATATCCATGGGGCTCCTTTAATCTTGTCCTCCAGGATGCAACCCACAACAGTTGGCTAACACCCAGGTACCTACTTACTATTAGGCAAATAGGGACAGCAGGTGTAAGGAAACATGCCCAGTGTTTCCACTCATACTGGGGATTGAACCACAGACATTCAGTATGAAGTGAGTCTGCTGCCAACTGAGCCACAGGATGCTACTGCCATACCAGATATGATAAGAGATAAGATTTTGTTCAGATTTTTAACCCCAGAAGGTTAGCCACCCAGGATAACCCAAGAAAGTCAGTGTGTCATTAAGGGACTGTCTGTCTTATTTCCATTGAGGTCCTCAATCTTGTCCCCCAGGATGCGACCCACACCAGTTGACTAACACCCAGGTACCTACTTGCTAGGTGAACAGGACAAGTGTAAGGAAATGCATCGAATGTTTCCATCCCTGCTGGGAATCAAACCCAGGCCCTTAGACATGAAGTGAGAGCTGTGCCAGCCAGGCCACAGGGCCATGAGGTCCCAACACCTAAATTTAACATAAAACTTTGACTGAAATATGTATAAACATAAAAATGCAGTATTCATTCACTGAGATACAGGTACTAATTATTAATTTTCTTTTTATTTACATAAGCCATACATTAATAGGTAAGTAAATTTATTCCAGTACAGGTACCAAACAGTTACACAAATCTTCATACATAGCAGCATATGTTTAGATTACCTAGGATAACCCAAGAAAGTCAGAGTGACTTACTACCATCAAGGTCCTTGGTAAGGTAATTGGTCCTTGGAGGTAATTTATGAACATATAAGAAGCTTACATTTTAACTTTAATTACAAAGTATTCTCATCACATAATCTATACAAAAATGCCACATTATAATGTTGTCTTTTTAATTCTTTAAAAGAATTGAAGGAAGGGTAGATATTCTAGGTTAAGTTATCATACAGTGTAATGTTAGTGTTGAGGGTTGTTAGATGAAGAAAAGTTAGTAGGATTGTAACCTTGGTGGCTAGATCAGTGCCACTCAGTCAGAACCTATTACTGGCACTACCCTCACCCTGAGTCAAGTGGCACTGTTATCAGGAGTGAGTGAGAGTGACAGTGACCTGCCTGACCCCTGGTGTCACTGCCACTACAAACCCCGGAGGAAAATGGCCACACACACACACACATTTGATACACCTTCCTCACGAACCACACTAACTACACCACCTTATACATACCTTTTTAATTCCTCTATACGTATATACAAATAGTTCTCTGCCGTAATTAAAACATATTTTGGTTCTATCACCGTTTATCGAGTTAACATTTCCACTGGAATCTGGTAAACTAACGAAAGACACTCTTACAGGGGGTATAGTTCCACTTCCTCCACTGTTATTATAAGCTACTCTATTAGGTCTACTGTATTCTGAAAGTGGCAGTAATCTGTACACTCCTTCTATGGTGGTGAACTGAGTTTTAATTTCATCTTTGGAGGCAGCATCTCCCTGCACCGCCATGTTTTACCTAACTGACGGATCACAAGTGATCTTCAACTACCCGAACAACACAACATTTATTACCTCATCTACATTCATCTTATTTCTTGCCTTTATCATCAAAAAAGATCATTATGAGAGGCAGCAAACAATTCGGGATGTAAATTGCTTTATATTCTGAGCTTTTTCAATATTAGGAGAATGCAAGTGATGTCAATTAATCTGGGTTTAAGTTATTTTGTACATTCTTGTTGGTTCATGTACTTTGCGATTATTTTATTGTGGCGAAATTTTCTCAGTATGAATTCATTAATGGTTCGTTAGCACGAATTATGTTGATATTGATGTAATAATTGTTTACTGTGAGTACTGGAGCAGTCCCATTGATGGAGACCCGGATGATGGAGCGCATGCGCGCCTGCCACCCACCCTCCTCCCGCCCCAACCACCCATAATACCACCCAGCCCGCCACCCTCCCAGTATACCACCAGCCAACCCACCCAGGTTACCAACCACTCACCCAGCCTGCCACCCACCCTCCTCCCGCCCCACCCACCCTTTAATACCACCCAGCCCGCCACCCTCCAGTATACACCAGCCAACCACCCAGGTTACCAACCACTCACCCAGCCTGCCACCCACCCTCCTCCCGCCCCACCCACCCATAATACCACCCAGCCGCCACCCTCCCAGTATACCACCAGCCAACCCACCCAGGTTACCAACCACTCACCAGCCTGCCACCCACCCTCCTCCCGCCCCACCCACTCAGCCTGCCACCCTCCCAGAATACCACCAACCAACCCACCCAGATTACCAACCACTCACCCAGCCTGCCACCCACCCTCCTCCCGCCCCACCCACCCATAATACAACCCACCCAGCCCGCCACCCTTCCAGTATACCACCAACCACCCACCCAGATTACTAACCACTCACCCAGCCTGCCACCACCCTCCTCCCGCCCCACCCACCCATAATACCACCCAGCCCGCCACCTCCCAGTATACCACCAGCCAACCCACCCAGGTTACCAACCACTCACCCAGCCTGCCACCACCTCCTCCCGCCCCACCCACTCAGCCTGCCACCCTCCCAGAATACCACCAACCAACCCACTAGATTACCAACCACTCACCCAGCCTGCCACCCACCCTCCTCCCGCCCCACCCACCCATAATACCGCCCACCCAGCCCGCCACCCTTCCGGTATACCACCAACCAACCCACCCAGATTATAACCACTCACCCAGCCTGCCACACCACCCTCCTCCCGCCCAGTCACCCACCCATACCACCCACCAACCCACCAGCCGCCACCCTCCCAGTATACCACCAACCAACCCACCCAGATTACCAACCACTCACCCAGCCTGCCACTCACACTCCTCCGCCCCACCCACCCATAATACACCCACCACCCTCCCAGTATACCACCAACCAACCCACCCAGATTACCAACCACTCACCCAGCCTGCCACCCACATTCCTCCCTCCCACCCACCCATAATATCACCCACCACCCTCCCAGTATACCACCAACCAACCCACCCAGATTACCAACCACTCACCCAGCCTGCCACCCACCCTCCTCCCGCCCCACCCACCCATAATACCACCCACCAACCCACCCAGCCCGCCACCCTCCCAGTATACCACCAACCAACCCACCCAGATTACCAACCACTCACCCAGCCTGCCACCCACCAGACCTCACACTCAACTAATCTAATTACAAATATTATATAAGCCAAGAGTTTCATTTCACTCTTCCGTGTTCATGTTGACATGTGTCAAGTTCATCCTTGACGCTGGTTAAAACATAACCTTTAATACATATATCATGCTGAAAAATTATTATTATTATTATTATTATTATTATTATTATTATTATTATTATTATTATTATTATTATTATTATACGTGTATCGAGTACTTTTCTTGAAACCTTAATGAAAATGTCACATTGACTTTAATGGGCTACCCTAAGTTAAATTCCCGCTGGGCATTTTCATTGATTTACGGAAAGCTTTCGATAGTCGACCACTGAACTTCTGTTCTCCAAACTAACGCACTATAGTATCAGAGGCCACTCCCTCAACTACCTAAAATCATACCTTAGTAACAGAACTCAATATGCGTATGCAAATGGTGCAAACTCTTCCACCCAACCAATCACAGTAGGAGTCCCACAAGGAAGTGTCCTTGGACTACTACTCTTTCTCATCTACATCAATGATCTACCGAATGCATCACAGCTACTCAAACCCATATTATTTGCAGATGACACTACATATGTCTTTTCCCACCCAAACGCAGTCATACTAGCAAACACAGTCAATGCCGAATTGCAGAAAATGTCTGCCTGGATGATGACAAAAAAACTTACCCTGAATACTTATAAAACCTACTTCATTCAGTTTGGAAACAAAGCTGCAAATGATCCAATTAACTTAACGCTAAACGGATCATCAGTCACAAGACTTACAGAGGGAAAATTCCTAGGTATCCACCTTGACAGTAGCCTTAAGTTCCAGACACATATACAACAAATCACCAAGAAAATCTCCAAGACTGTAGGCATACTATCAACGATAAGGTACTACGTTCCACAATCAGCTCTCCTGGCACTGTACCATTCACTCATATACCCTTATCTTACATATGGAATTTGTGCATAGGGATCAACAACATCCAATCACCTAAGACCTCTAATAACCCAGCAAAAGGCAGCAGTAAGAATGATAACAAATTCCCACTCCCGCCAGCATACTCCACCAATTTTCAAAAGTCTGAATCTGCCCACCATTAAGAACATCCATACTTATTCATGTGCCTACTACATACACAGAACAATACACACCCTCCACTCAAACTTCTCCTCACTAACCTTAACAGGACACATGACCATAACACAAGACACAGATCTCTTTTTGATGTACCTCGTGTCCATATCACACTGTGTAAAAATTCTATGCACATAAAGGGCCCCAAAATATGGAATTCATTACCAGAAGATATTAAAGTAACCAGGTCTGAAAATCAATTTAAGACTTCTCAAAAGCCACTTAATCACCCTAGACTAAATGCTAAATACTTAGTACACATATACTCACTTATGTACTCTCACATCATAATTTCAACAATTACCTTGAACTTTTTATCCATTGCTGACATGAGAATAATGAATATAATGAATTGTTTTCTACATCTACAGGGCCTTAAATTCCAATATTAACCTTGACCTAAAACGCTTTCTTGATAGTTGTGACAGAACCCACAGGCACATTGTCACCAGACACAAACATCTCTATGACATTCCCCGTGTCCGACTAAACCTTTACAAAAACTCAATGTATGTCAAAGGCCCTAAAATCTGGAACACCCTACCTGAAAACTCTAGAACTGCAGACACATTCATCACCTTCAAAACTACCATTAGAAAATATCTTATCTCCCTGATACACCCTGTCAACTAATTACACGAATACCACCTGGTGGTTCACACTTACACTCACTCACCCATTTGACCATAAACAGAAATATCAATCTTAATCTTAAAATAATGAATCCTAACTAGTCATAAGTTGGCCTGTGATACTCCAATACTGAAACTATGTACTGTGCCAAAACAAAAACATTCACATTGCTAAACTCACAAACTAGTATTTAGTCACTTAGCCATAATACCAACTTACCTCATAATTTGTAATATTTTAAAGTTAAGAATTAATCTAAGTCTGCCCGAAATGCCTACCCATGCTAGGTGTTCTAGTGGTACACTCTGTAATTAGTATTTTAAAACATGTAAACCACACAATATCCAAATTCTGTAAACTCAGCATAACCTAACCTAACCTAACCTAACCTAACCTAACCTAACCTAACCTAAACCTAACCTAACCTAACCTAAACCACCAGTCCGATAACATTCTTCTTTGCAAATATACAGGGTCTAAAGCCAGCAACAAACAACAAAATACCTTTCATCCGTGGACTGCTTGCAGAGGCAAAGGCAATGTTCGCGGCTTTCACTGAGACCCACATAAAGGATCACTTGGACAACGAAATATGGATCCCAGGTTACAACATATACAGATGTGACAGAGTGAACAGGCAAAAGGGGGGGGTTGGCCTGTACATTGCAGAGTCACTTGTTTGCACAGAACTGCTAAATGCCTCAAATGATGTAGTGGAAGTTTTAGCAGTAAAGGTCGAGAACCAAAACCTAGTCATTGTGATAGTCTACAAGCCTCCGGATGCAACATCCCAGCAATTCCAGGAACAGCTGTTAAAAATTGACCACTGTCTGGAAAACCTTCCAGCTCCTGCACCCAACATCTTGCTCCTGGGGGATTTCAACTTAAGGCACCTAAAAATGGAAGGAATATAGCAAATAATATTGTTGCAGTAATAACACCAGGAGGCAGCTCTGATGAAAACTCACACTCACGCGAGCTTTTAAATCTCTGCACAAAATTCAATTTAAACCAGCAAATAATAGAGCCTACTAGACTGGAGATTACACTAGACCTCATCTTCACTAACAATGATGATCTGATAAGAAATATCACCATATCAAAAACAATATACTCAGATCACAACATAATTGAGGTTCAGTCATGTATGCGCGGAGCCCCAGACCGACATAATGAGATTAGTCACGAGGGAGCATTCACCAAATTCAACTTCAATAACAAAAACATAAAGTGGGACCAAGTAAAACCAAGTCCTAACCGATATAAGCTGGGAAGATATACTAAGCAACAACAGACCCAACTTATGCCTAGAACAGATTAACTCTGTGGCACTCGATGTATGCACAAGGCTTATTCCTCTAAGAAAAAGGAGGAGTAGATGTAAAACAGAAAGAGACAGGCGCTCCCTTTACAGGCGACGGAAAAGAATAACAGAGCGGCTAAAAGAGGTCAATATATCTGAAATGCGTAGGGAGACACTGGTCAGAGAAATAGCAAGCATCGAACTTAAGCTAAAAGAATCCTTTAGGAGTCAGGAATCGCGGGAAGAACT